GCATGCGTTTAAACATCCTGAGGCACAAAGTAGTACAAATAAAACTACTGATAAACATCATTTTGTTGAACATCCGGGGACAGAATCTAGCTTAGGGCTAAGCGTGTGTATTCACTGTAATGTTACGTTCAAAGACAAGAGATATTTGGATGATCATATACTTAAGAAACATCCCGATTGCGCAGCTACACTTACACGTAAAATATATGAGTGCACTCATTGTTCATTCAAAACTACGTTTAAACATATTCTTTCGAGGCATATGCTGAAACATCCTGATGCACAACGTGATTCTAGACTGAGCGTGTGTATTCACTGTAGCGCGGAATTTGAGTATAGTTCAAAACTAGATGATCATATAATTAATAAACATCCTGAGTTTACAGCATCAATTACACGTAAAATACATGAATGTACTCATTGTGCATATAAAACCGCGATAAAATGTAATTTTGGTAGGCATATGTTGAAACATCCTGGAACAGATGGTAACTTGAATCTGAGCGTGTGTATTCACTGTAATGCAAAATTTGCGGTTAAGCTAAATTTAGACGATCATATAATTAAGAAACATCCTAATTTCGCGGCGTCAGTTACGCGTAAGGTGTATGAATGCATTCATTGTTCATATAAAACCACCGTTAGACATCATGTTATTAGGCATTTGTTGAAACATCGTAGGACAAGGAGTAACTCTAAGGTGAACATATGTATTCACTGTAATGCTATATTTAAAGATACGATAAACTTAGATGATCATATAATTAAGAAACACCCTGATTTCGCAGCATCGGTTACGCGTGAGATACACGAATGTATGCATTGTACATATAAAACCACTATTAAATATAATTTTGCTAGACATTTGTCGAAACATTCTGGGGCACAAAATAGCCTAGTATGCTGAACGTGTGTATTCACGGTAATCGGGAAGATTTCGATAATAATTCAAGATTTCTGGAACATAAATACATTTATGAATCATTTTGAATTCGTTAGAGAGATATTGCTCACTGTTCTTAGTAATGTTTTTCTACTTGGACAAGCTTGGGATACTTAAAATAGGAAAACTTCATGATATCTTACTAGGAACAAATTAATTACAGTTATCGCATTGCATTTACACGAGCCATAATCGAGCAACATGACAGTTCACTTTTGACGTTTTTTCCTAGCGACACTTTTTTTACTGTTTGGTTATATATATATATATATATATATATATATATACATATAGCCACAAGGTGTTTCAAAACGAACGTAGAGAAGATAGAACTTGTAATAAGTATAAAAACAAAAGGACGGAGACATTGGGCTTGCTGATAACGACAGATACCTTCGTTACATGTTAAAAATATCAATACACCCGAACATATATATATATATATATTAAATTTAAAATCATTTTGTACAATAGTTGCTATTTCTTCTCAGTGTTATTGCAGCTCCTGATGAAGATGGCAAAGTCCATTGAAAGCTAGAGATTAATAAAGAATAAAGAGTCCTCTTTGCTTGAATTTTGTCTTAGTACCCAACAAAAGGCGGAAGCTTTATTTTTCACCTATATATATATATATATATATATATATATATATATATATACGAAAGGAGTGTAAATATGGAAGATGAGGAATATGACATATTAATGAAACATTTATTAATAACTATAGAGCTATAGAGAAGAATTCAACATGGGAATTGTTAAATGAAATTAGCACAATTTTGATTTTTTAACACTTATTTTATTTATAGATAAGGTTCTGGTACACTTTATTTCACTTTACTGTCGTCACCCTTCATTCTTCTACTTATAGTACCATACCTTGTTAGATGTTGGTTATCACAAAGGCCTGCCTGACCCTATTCACTTCTCTCACGGACAATTCGGCTGATGTTTCACTGGTCCACGATATTCGACATATTTAAGGTCCACTCTTGAAAATTTCCATAAGCTTAATCTGAGCGTTGGAACATTCAATTATAAGAGGAATTTAGACAACCATTTAGTAAAAAAACATCCTACTTGCGCAAAATCATTTACATGTAAGATACATAAATGAACTCATTGTACATATAAAACCACCTCAACTATATCATGACATCCTGAAGTACAATGTAGCTACAGACTAACAATTAACAAACATCCTGATTTGACGTCATTCATTTATTTATATATACCAATATTTTTATACTTCAAAAGGGCATTTGTGACTATAGATAAGGAAAAATTGTTAATGAAATTGCGTCACTATGGCTTTAAAGGATCAGTATTACACATTTTACAAAATTATTTAGTAAATAGAAGTCAAAAAACTAAAGTTGGAAATATTATGTCAAGTGTTCAAAATATATCAGTAGGGGTGCCACACGGGAGTAAATTACGGCCGTTACTATTTATTATTTATATAAATGATAACTCCGACATTTTAGAACACTGCAAATATTTGCGGACGATACACTTTTATACATAGCACATAAGCATTTGGACACTGCTTTAGAACTGTTAAATAGTGATATTGAAAAAATTATGAATTGTTTAAATGTCCATTAACTTGAATTAAACACTAATAAAACAAAATGTATGTCAATAGGGAAACATTTAGGTGGCAATACAATTAGGCTCATGATTAATGATGAAAAAATTGCAGTAGTCGAATCATTTAAATATCATGGTATATATGTGGATAGTAAGCTACTGTTTCATGAACATTATGAATACATTCAAAAATATCGAAAAAGATAAATTACTTCTATAGAGTTTCCCATAATCTTAGTATGTATTCCAAAAAAATTGTGTAAAACACTATAATTCTTCCCCATTTTTCATATTGTTCAACCATCTTGTTTGCAGCAAATGAAAAGATATTTTCAAAATTACAAATTCTGCAAAGTAAAGCTATGGGATCATTTTAAATAAAACAAATATACTAGGATTAAGTCTATGTTAGAAGAACTGCAGTGGTTGGATGTGAAAAATTTAATATACTATTTAGTTCTCGTTTTCATATTCAAATTAAAAAATCATTTATTACCACCACCATTTAGAGAACTTCACAAAATTAAATAGTCATTATCATAACTACGAAACTAGAGGCAGTATAGATTTTCATCTGCAAAATTGTAATAGCATAACTAGTAAATCTATATTTCAAAAGGGAGTAAATTGAATAATGATATTAAACAAAGTTCGAATTTAAAAATGTTTAAGGTGAAATTAAAAAATCACTTTCTGGACAATCAAAATATATAGTGACGTAATTTTAATTTTAATAATCAAGAATGTAAAATTACAGAAAATGGATTGAAGAAAAATATGTAACCGAATCATTATACAACGATGACATTGTAGCATTAATGCTGAATAAATCTTCAACAACAACAACCTAATTGCCCAACACAGTAATCCAATTGCAGACCAATATAATGGTAACTTATAGTGTGCATATAAGAACCACCTAAAACGAACATAAAAAAATACCTACCTTGTAATAGTCCCTGAAGTTTGACAAGAATTTGATGATGATATAATCAAAATTAATGTCAGAATTGTCTGCTATGGAATTATAATTCTTGCATATCGAGTATAGCGCAGAAAAAACTATACGTTGGTACGGGAGGTAATGCGGTAGAGAAAGTGAGTCGTTCTCGAATTTAACCGTGGTATACAAAAAATCAGCCTCTGGAGAAGCTCTGGTGCATCCACTCTGTCGTGCAAAAGCTTATAAAGGAATATCAGACCAGCAATGGAATGACTTAATTGTAGAAACTCTATGTTGAAGCACCCCAGCAAAATTACAAAATCCTTTCTGGATATGCAGCATCAATTTTACAAGCTCAATATTTAAGAAATTTTCGTTGTACATTATATACATAAAATCACCTTAAAATATTTCTGGAATAAAAAATAAATCTGAAAGTAATAGAAATATTTCACTAAATCCCTAAAATCTTCATCTTGTTGAGATGCAGGATATTTCTACTAACTACTAGTTATTTGCAGTCAGTGGCCGGTTCCGAGATAAGGCACTTTGTGCTATCTATTTTTATTCGCTAGGCATTATTTTGAGATAATCTTTCACTATATGAAATGTTAATAAGAAACCAACAGCAACGGAAACTAACGAGAAACTTTGCGTGTTACTCTACTGACGAAACTTGTCACTAAAATAATTATGTAAAAGCTCAGATCCTTTATTTGAATTGTCCCGTGCAATAACATTGTGGTCTCTTTCAGTGTTTTGCAGTGGAAAGAAACCAGCCGGGAGCCATTCAGTTGTTATAATTGTGACTATACTGCATACTATATTTCCTCGCTGATCGATCATCAGGAATCAAAAGAAAACAAAATTACATGAATGTGTCCACTGTACATATAAAACTACCGTGAAGGGTGCTTTATCTAAGCATATTTTGAATCATTCTGGGACAGAAAATAGATATAAACCTAATCGGAACGTGTGTTTTCACTGTAGTGCGACATTCAAAGATAAGCTGATTCTAGATAATCATATAATTCAGAAACATACTTATTTCACAGCATCAGTTACACGTCAGATACATGAATGTACTCATTGTACATATAAAACTACCATAAACCGTAATTTTGATAGACATATGATGAAACATTCTGGGGCAAAAAGGAACATTCTGAAAGTGTGTATCCACTGTAATGCTACATTCAAACATAAAGTGAATTTAGATGATCATATAATTAAGAAACATCCTGATTTCACAGCATCAGTTACACATAAAATACATGAATGTGTTCATTGTACATATAAAACTACCATTAAAAATCATTTTGCTAGACATATTTCGAAACATCCTGAGATTGAAAGTAAATCTATTCTGATCACGTGTACTTACTGTAAAGCTACATTCAAACATAACATGAATTTGGATGATCATATAATTCAGAAACATCCCGATTTCACAGCATCAATTACACGTAAAATACATGGATGTCTTCATTGTACATATAAGACCACTGTCAAATATCATCTTGATAGGCATATGTTGAAACATAGTAGGGCACAAACTAGCTTCAACATGAATGAGTGTATTCACTGTAATGTTAAATTCAAAAATAAAAAAGTTTAGATGATCATATAGTTAGGAAACATCCCGATTTCCGTGCAAGAGTTACACGAAAGATACATGAATGTATTTATTGTTCGTTTAAAACCATTGTTAAACATCTTCTTGCTAGCCATGTGTCGAAACATTCTAGGACACAGAGTAGTCAAGGCTGAACGTGTTAATTCACTGTAATAAAATATTTATTGATTGATAATTTATTGGTCATATTATGTAAATTATAATAATAAGGATAATAACAATAAAAGTCTTTTATTATAGTAATACAACAAACACATAGAAAACTCAAGTAGACTGGTGGCGAAGCCTAGCTGCAGCCTTTTCTACTCAACCACCAGCGAGTTCACACTCTAAGAACTAAAAAAAAATAATAATAATATTTCCTCCTGGTAGCTGGTACATATACAGGGTGGCCCAACGAAAAGGCGGCTCCCCCGTTGTATATTTTGGAAAAAACACTCGGACACGTCAATTTTGAGTTTCAGAGTTCTTAAAATTAAAAAAAATGGGGGTTTCCATTTAAAAATCTGTAACGCAATATCTCAGTTTTCGATCATTCTGTATTGTACGGCTATAGATGAAAAGACCCCCCCTTGAAATGTGTCCGAGCGTTTTTCCCAAAATATACCAGGACAGTCACAAATACGGGTGCGACCTTTTCGTTGGTCCACCCAATATGAGAAACGATTAGTGAGTTGAATTCAAGACAGTACATAAATATTACACAAAAAATAAGCAGATTATCATTCCTCAAGAGATGTATTGACTTATTGCATTAACTTCTTTTGAAATCCATCAATATACAGCGTATAATTCAAAAACATTCAAAATATTTCTAAAACAAAAAATAAATAGAAAATAAGATAGACGTTCCTATACATCCCTAAAACATCCTCTTGTTGAGATGCAGATTATTCCTACTAACAGCTAGATATTTAGACTTGTGCCCAGTGGCCGATTCTGAGAGATGGCACTCTGTGTGTGATATAATCTGACAGGTGAAGTGTTATTAAGAAACCAACAGCAACAGAAAGTAAATAAAAACTATACCCTAAAATGTTAGAGCTAATGAAATATCAGAACCTTTTTCTTTTATTGTCCTATGCAATAATATTGTGGTCTCTTTCAGTGTTTTGAAGCGGAATGTTCCGAGAAAGCAGGGTGACGTAATGTGTAGAGAAACCAAAAGCAACGGAAAGTTATTCAGCTGTTATAACTGTAAATATACTACATGCCATATTTCCGCACTAATTGATCATATGGAAGAACACGAGAATCAGAAGAAAACATCCAGTCCTATTCATGATCCAGATCTTAAAGCATCACCTCGTAAATTACATTCTGGAGCAGAAAATAGCATTAAATCGGGCGTATTGTGTACTCACTGTAACTCTACGTTCCAGCGGGGTATAGATTTAGATGATCATATAGTTAAGAAACACCCTGACTATATTGCATCAATTTCACGGAAAATTCATGAATGTGATCATTGTACGTATAAGACCACCATTCAAAAATTAATATCAAAGCATATGTTAAACCATCCTGGGATAGAAAATAGCTATAAGCTTAATCTAAGCGTGTGTATTCATTGTAACGCGGCATTCAAAGATAAGCTGATTTTAGATAATCATATAATTCGGAAACATCCTGATTTTACAGCATCGGTGACGCGTAAGATACATGAATGCACTCATTGTACACATAAATCCACCATAAAACGTGATTTTGATAGACATATGATGAAACATTCTGGGGCGAAAAGGAACATTATTCTGAAAGTGTGTATCCACTGTAATGCTACATTCAAACATAACGTGAATTTGGATGATCATATTATTAAGAGGCATCCTGATTTCATAGCATCTGTTGCACGTAAAATACATGAATGTGTTCATTGTACATTTAAAACCACTATTAAACATCATTTTGATACGCATATGTTGAAACATCCTGGAGCTCAAACTAGCTTTAACCTGAACGTGTGTATCCACTGTAATGCTAAATTCAGATGTAAGATAAAGTTAGATAATCATATAGTTAGGAAACATCCCGATTTCCTTGCAACAGTTACACGCACGATTCATGACTGTATTTATTGTTCATTTAAAACCACTATTAAACATCATCTCGATAGGCATATGTTGAAACATCCTGGGACAAAAAGCAACATTATTCTGAAAGTGTGTGTCCACTGCAATGATACATTCAGAAAAAAGCTAAGTTTAGATGATCATATAATTAAGAAACATCCTGATTTCACAGCATCAGTTACGCGTGGCATATATGAATGTAAACATTGTACATATAAAACCACTGTTAAGTATAATTTTGATAGGCATGCGTGTAAACATCCTGAGGCACAAAGTAGTACAAATAAAACTACTGATAAACATCATTTTGTTGAACATCCGGGGACAGAATCTAGCTAAGCGTGTGTATTCACTGTAATGTTACGTTCAAAGACAAGAGATATTTGGATGATCATATACTTAAGAAACATCCCGATTGCGCAGCTACACTTACACGTAAAATATATGAGTGCACTCATTGTTCATTCAAAACTACGTTTAAACATATTCTTTCGAGGCATATGCTGAAACATCCTGATGCACAACGTGATTCTAGACTGAGCGTGTGTATTCACTGTAGCGCGGAATTTGAGTATAGTTCAAAACTAGATGATCATATAATTAATAAACATCAAACATCCTGAGTTTACAGCATCAATTACACGTAAAATACATGAATGTACTCATTGTGCATATAAAACCGCGATAAAATGTAATTTTGGTAGGCATATGTTGAGACATCCTGGAACAGACGGTAACTTGAATCTGAGCGTGTGTATTCACTGTAATGCAAAATTTGCGGTTAAGCTAAATTTTGACGATCATATAATTAAGAAACATCCTAATTTCGCAGCGTCAGTTACGCGTAGGGTGTATGAATGCATTCATTGTTCATATAAAACCACCGTTAGACATCATGTTATTAGGCATTTGTTGAAACATCGTAGGACAAGGAGTAACTCTAAGCTGAACATATGTATTCACTGTAATGCTATATTTAAAGATACGATAAACTTAGATGATCATATAATTAAGAAACACCCTGATTTCGCAGCATCGGTTACGCGTGAGATACACGAATGTATGCATTGTTCTTATAAAACCACTATTAAATATAATTTTGCTAGACATTTGTCGAAACATTCTGGGGCACAAAATAGCCTAGTATGCTGAACGTGTGTATTCACGGTAATCGGGAAGATTTCGATAATAATTCAAGATTTCTGGAACATAAATACATTTATGAAGCATTTTGAATTCGTTAGAGAGATATTGCTCACTGTTCTTAGTAATGTTTTTCTACTTGGACAAGCTTGGGATACTTAAAATAGGAAAACCTCATGATATCTTACTAGGAACAAATTAATTACAGTTATCGCATTGCATTTACACGAGCCATAATCGAGCAACATGACAGTTCACTTTTGACGTTTTTTCCTAGCGACACTTTTTTTTACTTTCTGGTTTTATATATATATATATATATACATATAGCACAAGGTGTTTCAACCTAATTGCCCAACAGAGTAATCCAATTGCAGACCAATATAATGGTAACTTATAGTGTGCATATAAGAACCACCTAAAACGAACATGAAAAAATACCTACCTTGTAATAGTCCCTGAAGTACTCATTGTACATATAAAACTACCATAAACCGTAATTTTGATAGACATATGATGAAACATTCTGGGGCAAAAAGGAACACTCTGAAAGTGTGTATCCACTGTAATCCTACATTCAAACATAAAGTGAATTTGGATGATCATATAATTAAGAAACATCCTGATTTCACAGCATCAGTTACACATAAAATACATGAATGTGTTCATTGTACATATAAAACCACTATTAAATATCATTTTGATAGGCATCTGTTGAAACATTCTGGGGCTCAAACTAGCTTTAACCTGAACGAGTGTATTCACTGTAATGCTAAATTCAGATGTAAGATAAAGTTAGATGATCATATAGTTAGGAAACATCGCGATTATCTTGCAACAGTTCCACGTAGGATACATGAATGTATTTATTGTTCGTTTAAAACCACTCTAAAACTCATTACGCATATGCTGAGACATACTGGGACAAAAAGGAACATTACTCAGAAAGTGTGTATCCACTGTAATGCGACATTCGCAGATAACCAAATTTTAGATGATCATATAATTAAGAAACATTCTAATTTTACAGCCAGTTACACGAAAAACACTCACTGTACATATAAAACTACCATTAAAAATCACTTTGTTAGACATATTTCGAAACATCCTGAGATTGAAAGTAAATCTATTCTGATCACGTGTACTTACTCTAAAGCTACATTCAAACATAACATGAATTTGGATGATCATATAATTCAGAAACATATAAGACCACTGTTAAATATCATCTTGATAGGCATATGTTGAAACATAGTAGGGCACAAACTAGCTTCAACGTGAATGAGTGTATTCACTGTAATGTTAAATTCAAAAATAAAAAAAGTTTAGATGATCATATAGTTAGGAAACATCCCGATTTCCGTGCAACAGTTACACGAAAGATACATGAATGTATTTATTGTTCGTTGCTAGCCATGTGTCGAAACATTCTAGGACACAAAGTAGTCAAGGCAGAACGTGTTAATTCACTGTAATAAAATATTTATTGATTGATAATTTATTGGTCATATTATGTAAATTATAATAATAAGGATAATAACAATAAAAGTCTTTTATTATAGTAATACAACAAACACATAGAAAACTCAAGTAGACTGGTGGCGAAGCCTAGCTGCAGCCTTCTCTACTCAACCACCAGCGAGTTCACACTCTAAGAACTAAAAAAAAAAATAATAATAATATTTCCCCCTGGTAGCTGGTACATATACAGGGTGGCCCAACGAAAAGGCGGC